TTTGTGCGTGCAGCCAGGGGGCCCTTTCAAAAGGTCAGAACAAGGCAACCGCAGCAGCAAGAGGCTGGATGTGCTTTTTAAAATACTGAAGAAAGAGAAAAAAAAAGAAAAACTAAAAAGTCTGGGCGCTGGGGCCGGCAGGGGCAAGGTCGCACGACTCCATCACGGGTTGAGTGAATTGGGGCAAATCATTTATCTTCTCTGGGGCCTAGTTTACCAGCTTTGAAACAGGGAGGAGAAACTTGGCCTCGCGGGAAGGGGGTGAGGCGCACGGCGCCTCCGGATTCCAGCACCGAGGTGCAGACACAGCACGTGGCTGTGGTGGCTGAGGACACACCTCCCCCCGGCCGTGCGAACCCAGCTTGCTCTGCTGTGGTCCTAGGCAAGTCATTGAACCTCCTTGGTCTGTTTCTCACCTACGAAACAAGGACAGAAATAATGATACAGTAATAATAATACCTCCGGGCAGTGTTGTTCTGACGACGAGTGAGTCATGACAGGACTGTCACTCAGGGACAGTGCTGGGCCCGTGGCGGCCACGGAAGAAATGCTGGTCGCTACTGAGTCGAACAGGTCACGAGCACAGCATCCGCCTCCCTTCTCTGTCAACCAGAATTTGCCACACACGCCGTCTGTCACGCTCCCTCGTCAGAACAAGGTGAACGCTGTCACCGGAGTGTTTCACCTCTAAGCTACATGTCTGTGTTCCTATTTCAGCACGGACAGGAGAGCCGGTTTAAGTGGGGTGGGGGTGGGGTGGGCGAACAAAGCTGGACAAGTTTCCAACGTGAACCGTGGCTCCGGGTCAGGAGCAGGATGGGGAGGCCCGCCTGACAGCGGTGGGGCGGCGCAGGTGCGACCATTCAGAGGCAGGACCGTGGACAGACGCCGCGGACAGAGCTCTCGGACCACAGACAGGCTTCTCCGCGCACCTGCTCTCCCCACCTGCTGCACCCGACCTGCTCCTCCCGGGAGACCCTGGCGTGGGCCTCACTTCCGGCTGGAGGCCCAGGCTGGTGCCTGGAGGATGAACTACGTCAGGGAACGGAGAGCTGTGTCCTCTGACGTCACAGCGAAGAGGTGACTAGCGCTGCTGTACCCGAGAAAAAGGCCACGTGCAGAGCGACAGGCACAGTGACACACACAGACCCACGCCCACGGGCTCACGCCCGCCGTGCACGCACGCTGGCACACACAGGCCCACACCCACGGGCTCACGCCCGCCGTGCACGCACGCTGACACACACAGACCCACACCCACGGGCTCACGCCCGCCGTGCGCGCCGTGCACGCAGCACACACAGACCCACACCCACGGGCTCACGCCCGCCGTGCGCGCACGCTGGCACACTCGGCGCTCCAGCTTCAGGCCGTCAGCCCGCCTCCCCGACCCTCGCTGACCCTTTCCTCTGACCCGTTTCCCGTCCGGCCCGGAGATGAGGACGTCCTCTGCGTCCTCCCGCCCTTGTCCATCATGGGTGCTCACAGGCTTTCCCCACACCCCACTATGCGCACACAACTCTCGTCCAACACGTGTGGTTACGGGCCACCTACGGCTCGAGGGGGCAGGGCTGCTGGGAACAGCCCTGTTCCGACAGGAAGCCGCCTGTCCAGAGCCGCAGCGCTGGGTAACGGTGCTGCCTGGGGGGGCTGCTGGTCCAGTCCCCTTCCCCTGCATGGCCTCCCCTCCACACAAAACCCAGGATGGGGTGCCCTTCGTGGGCAGGTCCAGGCTGAGGGCCGGACCGCGGCGGCCATTACTGTTTCTCCTTCTCGTCCTGCCTCTGATCTCC